ATATATATATATATATATATATATATATATATGCAGGAATTAAAATATGCTGGTAGGAAAAATAGAAAGTATTGGTCTGAGGTATGTCTACCAAATCCTATGTCATATCTTAGTGGGTCCTATTTATTTAAATGTATAGATGATTTTTCAAGCAAGGCATAATGAGTTTAATTATACTTCAATATATCCAAAAGAGTATGAGAAAGGTCCAGGGATCCGACCCCAAGCATCTCACAATCCCTTGTAAAGTCTCGAGTTTGTTCAAACTCATTATGTTGCCCAATAACTCATCCCTATCATACCCTTATGCTCAATGAACTGATGTTCTAGCTAACCCTAAGGATGGGGTAATTATCACTTGATGAACTTTACATAAGAAAATGATTAAAGTGAGTTATAATTAGTTATTTTATGGAAGCTTGTTGCTTCTACCTAAATAAGTGAATTTATAGGTGGTGTCGTGTTTTTTCTTCATTATTGAATTTATTTTGGATTCATTTTCAAGGATGTTATTCTTAATCTTAGTGCCTAAGCATCATGAGGAGAAGTCACGTCATTGTCTATTGCCAATTTGAGAGCTTGTTAATGATGTTAAATTGTCCTTCTACAAACTAGTCAACTTTTATGCTTTATTTGCTTTATTTATTACAAAAAATAAAATGGGATTTCTTTCATTTACACACACACACACACACACACACATAAATATATAAGTAGATGTGTCGGCGCACGCGTGTTTATGTGCATGTCTACCCATGTGCGTGCGTAAATGTCTATCTTTACTTGGTTGAAATCAATTTACTTGCCCTTCATTTGATAATATTTTCTTCTACTGGCTCTACTTAGCTTTCTTATCAAAGTTTACCATAAAAATATTTCTCTTTCCTTTCGTATCAAATTTTTTTTCTTAAGAATGAAAATGTTAGAAAGCAACACATCCTTTCTTAGCATTACACTCTCTCCCTTAAACTAAAGAGCATATGGCACATTTTTCCTTATTCACCATATGTTTAATTTACAAAATCAAAATGAGTAGAAGGCCATTCTGTTTCTCTAATCCATTTACGATATTTCATTTGGGAAGTTATGGATATTAACGGGGAACCCAAATAAGTTGGGTCTCCCCCTTTCGGAAAGAAACATCTTTCATTTCATCTAATATAAGATGATGAATAACATCTCTCTCTTCTATGACTCGTGGGTTCATGATCACTCCATTTATCACATTCTTGATTTATTTTATTTCGAGATGTTTGTTCTTCATTAAAATGCTTTCCTTGAATTATGAAAGCAAATTGGTGACTTCTTTCATCATTATTTACTACTTCTCTTCATTCTTTTGTTTCTAATTTTGTTGTAAATGAACATGAAAATGAAATTATATACTAAAAGTTTGCTAAAGTTCTTATTTCAAAATATGAATTAATACTTATTTTGTTTAAATGTTACTCAACAAAATATTATTGGTTTGCTATTTCTATGGGCATAAAAACTGTGACGTAAATGAAGTTTACAAGTTCAGAATAGTTGTCAATTCTATACTCCTGGACTTAATACTCATAATCAGAATTTTCTTAGGTGCTCTTCTTCTTCTTTTTTAACTATTGTGAAATGTGGTTCGTAAAGTTTTCTTCTTTCTCATGAAATCTACTTTTCTTTTGGTGATATACAATTATTAAAAATTTTATGTGTTGATTTATTCAAGGTTAATGTATGTTATGAGGAGAGTCAAAAATGACATTCTTTCAAAAGTTGGTGCTTGCAAGAATTTTTGGGTAACCCAAGTTAAATCTTTGATGCAAAGAGTGAAAACTCAATGCTTCTTGGCCTGTCAGACTATTATTAAAGGAAAGAAACTTTGGTTACATGAATATTTGAGGAAATTTTCTTGTTTGTGATGCTTCTCTTTTAATTTATTTATGGTTTCTCTGGCTATTTAATTCTTATCTTCTATTTTGTATAATCAAATGCATTAATTATTTTTTCTCCCTCCCTCCAATTTGAACAAATATGTGTGTTTTGGTGTGCCATGAGCTCTAGATTGCTGAGCAATTATTATATTCGGATTCTATAGGTACGACTGATAGTATTTTAGGTGTTATTGGTAATTTTGTGATATCATCACAACACTAATAACAATTAAATTATTATCATTCACACTTAATACAAATGCATTGCATTCAGATATAATAATTTTTTCTATAATAATAGTCATGCATACTTGAAAACTTAGCTACTTTTTCAGGAAAGTATTCTGTATGTGCCCTCATCTTCAATTATTTGTTAGAAACGGTGGAGCCCTGTCCACTATGCTTGGGCCATTACTTTGCTTTGGAGAGTCACGCCTCTTCACAAATAACCACTCTCGCCTTCCTCTGTTGTGAAACGAAGAATCTCTCTGCTCCCTCCTGTTTGTGATAAAAAACTTCAGACGACTCCTTTAGTTTCTAAGTCACGTTTTGAGTTCTTCTTCGGGCTTTCTCGGGATAGAGGAAGAGCTCTTCGGCTTCTACGGGACAGTGGAAGAGAAGTGCAAGCGGTAGTTCTTTGCGACAGAAGGAAGAAAAATGAAGAAGAAGAAAATTGTTCTTTCTAGGCTTCTTCTTGGTGGCTTGTGGCAGAAGAGAAATTGTGTTTATTTCTCTTGTAAGTTTGTCTTCTTCGGTGTATCTCGCTGTAGAGTTTCTTCAGTGTATCTTGGTGTAGAGAGAGAAGAACAGAGAGAGAAGAAGAGAGAGAGCAACGACAAGTGAGAGATTCCTCTTGTAAGTTGAGGTGATCGACTGGTGTAAATTCCTCAAGTAGTAAAATCCTCTGCAACTCCGTGGACGTAGACAATTTGCCGACCCACATAAATCTGTGTGTTCCGCGGTGGTGTTTTTTTTTCTGGTGTGAATTGTTCTCGTTCTATTTTTTCACTTCGTCGATCGTTCTCGTGTTTGATTTATATATATATCAATTGGTGTATATCTAGATCTCGTCACAACATTATTGTACCGAGTATCATGACAATCCTTGTGATTAGTTGTTATATATATGTGTGTGTGTATGAAGTTTATTTGGAGGTTATTGCAGGGCTATGTAGCCGTTATTGGGTTAATATACTTAATAACCTCATGAAACCCTCAAATAATAAGCAAAAGTATGAGTGTCAAACTGAAAAAATATGAGTGTGGAATGTATTTATTGAGATCTAATTGGGGTTATTGGGTCATGCGCTTAAAATAAATAGTGAATAAATAGCGCTCGAGAGTGAGAGAGGGAGAACGAGCAATGGAGTCAGAGCAGACGACGATGGATGTCTTAAGAGCGGAGATCCCTGTCAATGAGGAAGAAGATTTCTTTCCCGCAGCAGAGAGGGATTTTGGGAGGATCGTGGGCCTCGTTCTCATCGACATCGTCAATGGCTTCTGCACCGTCGGAGCCGGCAACCTCGTACGCTACCCTCGCTTTCTTCCCAGCGCAAAGTTTCTGCTATTAATTGAATTGAATTGATTTGGCATTTCCGTTTCCAGTTGAATGCCAATAAGACCCGGCGGCGATTTTATTTTTCTTTTTTTTGGTTCATTATTGGGTTGATTTGCGGATTGCTTTACTCATCGGATCGTGTTAGAATCGGAGCAACATGCGTGCGTATATATGTTCCTTATAAAAATAATAATAATAATAATAAATCAGATAGCATTTTCTGTTGCCAAGATGAAGCCGGAACGTAGGAGATCAAAACTTTATGCTATTGTTATTACTCTCCTCTTTTCTGTACTGAGAGTTTCCCTTTTACAGCCAAAAGCATCAAAAGCCACAGTTTTTTTAAGGAACAAAATATTTCTTTCCTGTAAGCATAAAAATAAATAAATAAATATAGAAACCCCAATCTTGCGTTCTCTTGGTTAGGAATCCCTCTCTTCCTGTCTCTTCTCCTCTTTTTCTCTTGTGGTCATAATATGCTGAAATCTTCTCGCTAAAGTTATATTCATGATCTGGAGACAATTTATTAGATGTCTCACAAGATCTGGCATGATCTCTTAAAGTTAAGATCTCACTAGGTTTCCCAAATTCAGTAAATTATTTCTTTAATATTTTTTTATCGATGCACAATCTTCAATATATTGCTACAGGTCACAAACATTTATCAATTAAAGAATTTGTATTAAAAGAAGAGATTTGACCATTGTATAGCTACATAACCTATTACCAAGTTTAAAGCATGGGTCAAATCTGAACACGAGGTGACAATTGGATTTGATCAATTTTATAGGATAACTCGCTCGGCCGAATTCGACCAATTTCAACCGACTTAGCCAAACAATATGGCAAATATTGGTTTAGCCATCAAGTTTGACTAAAGCAGTTCACCCAATCAGTTTGACAAATTTTTTTGACAAGTTAACTATTCAAGTTAGGGCGACTTCATTAATTTTGCCGATCGCCGGACAATGCTGTATTATATAATGCTATACACCTAAGTATACTTTTGCTTCGATGCCTTTTTTTTGTTTTTGTCTAACCATTTATATAGTTGTTACTAGGGCCAACTCAAAACTATAAATACGGGAGGCCACCTAAAGATGAGGGGCACATTTTTTCCTTTAATTGATTACACTAGAGCTTTTCTAGTAGAAATTCCCTATTTGAGCTCCATACTTGGAAGTGATAACTGTTTTATGTGTTCCTAATCTTCTCCTCTTACAAATTCTTATCTAGGTGGTGCGAGAATAATTCAAGATTCAACAAAAATATGTTGGTGGTATAACATAATAATCCTACTAGGGAAGCATTGAGGGATAAGTGTCATACATCTTTGTGCAGTAGCCACAACATTTTTCTCTTTAGTTCTTTTAGCCATAGAGAAACTAACTCCACCTTTGTTTACCTAAGTTGTAATATTCGCACAAGGAGTATTCAACATACTCTAGCTTGAAAATTCATCTTTACATGGAGAACCATTTTATCTTTCTTGCTTATATAGCCTACTTTTTGTTGTAATAGATTTAAATTTATTTTCTTACTTCTATTATTCCTATGTTGGTGGTCATATATAGAGTGATTGTCTAGTTATTCAGAGCAAACATCAACGCACCTTTCATCTTTTTTAAATATTAGTTTTTAAACTTTTATGACGTCCTTCTAGAGTTAATTGCTCAATCGAGATTAAGTTTCTGTTCAAACTAAGGATGTGCCTGACTTTGTTTAGTTTTCAAGTGTTTTTATCAATGAGAAATATTTTCCCATAATTGCATGCAATGATTTATCATTAGATATTTGTTTGAGGAAGAATGAAGTGATTATGAGTTTACTACCCATGTTTTCATTCATTGAATTATTTATAATAAATATCATTGCATCCTAAATATCTTTCACAATTTCAGTCATTATATATGTATGTATATATATATATATATATATATATATATATATTGGGCTTTTTATATATATATATATATATATTTGGCTTTTGGTTTTATTTATGTTTCATCTTCATTTACTCTTTCATTATATGGTTAGAACTTCCATATTATTAGCATCCACTCAGGTAAACTTAAGATAACTATCTTGACTTGATTAGTGATTTTTTTTCAACAAGATTTTAATCTGTCTTTCCTTTTTTAGCTACATTTGTTATAATACATGCTTTTATTGTTAGCATTTAAAATTGAGAATACGTTCACATCTTTGGTGATATCTTATATCCTTATTGAGTTGAGATCTTTGACATAAATAAGCTTCATGAAGGATGATCGATAGGATCTAATGATGGTTTTGACGGTGTAGTCTCGACGCTCAAGCAACTATGAAAGCAAGCTAAAACAATGGACCTTGTTATCTTAATTGATGTTCTTTTATTAGGTTGAACTCGCTTTTCATACATATCAAAAAGCATGTACATAATGCCTGGTGTAGTGGTCTCATTGAGGACAAGCTAAGATATAAGAGAATGAATCCAAGATGTTGTCTGCCCATCAAATCCTATTATTTCTGCTCAATGGATTATGGATTACTCCTCTCAATAATTGGTAAAAATAGTTCTCTATTTTCATCTCTTAAAACTTGAAATTCGACTTCATCCTTTGATGAGTCGAAGCTAGCAATACTTATTTTTGTTTTTTTTTGAAGAACCAAAAGTTCTCCCTTTTGTAGGTACCCAAAAAAAATCCCTTTGTTTTCCGAGTTAGTAGCCCATCTCTCGTGCCTCTTTTTCTTTCTTTTTTTTTTTTTTGATATTATGGGATGCCAAATTCTTTCTTCTAAGGCTCTGTATATAATGGTTGCAAGGAATATATTTGGAGATGGAATTTATTATAAGCTCTCAAAAGATATTCTAAAATATTTGAAAATCAATAATAGACATCGTATTCTCTCTCAAAGTCAAAAATTGATTTCTTTAAGATCTTTACCTTAATGCTAGATCTCTAAAATTTTCTTATAGTCCATTGAACATCATAGTAAAATATTAAAAAATTAAGAGGAGATTCAACTAGATATACTTGGTGAAATTTTTATTTACAAAAATAAAAAAAAAGAGAAATCGCTCAATATCAATTACAAAAGGTTGATTGGAATTGTGAAAATTCAAGTAGATGAAATTTGAAAGCAAACTTGTTAGATGTTTTAAAAGCATTTCTAAGTTAGCTCTCCAATCTTGCTATAGTGTGATTATATTGAAGATTTTGTTAATAATAATTTAGATGTTTTGATTAAAAAGTATAATTCAAATTATAAATTAGAAATTTTCCAATTGTAAGTATAAAATAAAATAAAAAAGATAGAAAGGAAAAACTTGTTTGAGAAGTACATAAATTTTGGCGCTTTCTTTAGAGAACATATTTTATTTCACGTTGGATTTCTTGGGGCGTATTTACTTCTATGGTATAACACACCTTGACTCATCCAATATTGATCATAATAGTAAGAATTTTATGAAAATATTTTTGAACATTTTTTCCTCTGAAGCACAAAAGATGAGATTGAAAAGAGAGAATAAATCTTATGGTGCAATACAATTTGTTGGAGGGAAAGGAACAAAACCTTCTGAGTTTATTCCCTTATTGCCTCATTTTAAATTAGGTTGGTGTAAATTTACTAAATTACTGACCTTCATCATGAGCTTAAATTTTTTAGTTGAAAATGAGTTTGAATGCTAGTATATTTGGCCTAATTTTATTTCCCTTCGATTTATTCCATAAAAAAAATCATCTTGATTTCATTAGAATAATGAGTTGCAATCTTTCATGACGACCATTAGAACGGATAACCTCATCCAAGCATGATTTATATGGAACTCATGTAAGTAGTGAATAGTTGCATTTTTTCGATGATTTTGAACCTTTTCCATAAGACATTAATTCCCCATTTTGTTTTTTATGACGCCAAATATAACAACCTAAACTAAAATACAAACCTAATAATAGATTTTATGATTTATTTTTCTTTCTTGTTTCATATAGCTTGACATGGTAATCCATTTTTGTTGTGGTAATCTTCTTTTAATATACAACAGATCTCTTCTAATCGATACGTTGGTCATCTTTCGCTTTTGTTCTCTTTTTAAGGGATTTTATTGCGCATGGTAATATTTTGTCAATTTTGTTACACGATTTGAATTTAATTGACGATGTTTTGTCTTTGTAGGCTCCACCTGAACCTAATAAACAAATATCCACTATGGTGGAAGAAGCATCAAGGTTGGCCAAGGCATTCTGTGATAGGAATTGGCCTGTATTTGCTTTTCTGGACACTCATTACGCAGATAAACCTGAGCCTCCATACCTTCCTCATTGTATAATTGGTTCCGGAGAAGAACATCTTGTGCCAGGTTCTGCCCCTTAAAACTCTCTTTCAATTGTATTTTTTTCTTTTGTATTATTGCAGTGATACCGAAGTTCACCCAAACTACAACGGGAAAAACAAATATTATTAAAAGAAAATAGGGTTACAATCAAAGACACTTGAAACTAAGAAATAATAAGAACATAACACGACTCAACTAGGGCAGGGGCACAAAGATGAAGTTGGTGTAGTTTAAGAAGTATTAGCGAGAAAGGGTTGGAGGCGACTGGCAGGAGGGCGTCAGCAAGTGGGAGGAGGTCTAATAGGGAGACAACAAGAATAGAGTGACATGAAGTGGCTACAGCTGGTTTAGGAAGTTGGGAAAGGGTCGGCGGGGGAAGAGGTCGTGGGAAGTAGGGAGCAATGGATACGCACCACCTCGAGATGAATTACAGCTGAAGCACCTTCTCGCCTTTGAATACAAGCCTAAGAAGTGAAATTGAACGCCGATGACTGTCCTGCAAATACATGAAAGCAAAAGAAAACCTAAGACAAAGGAATAACTCGGATTTGATCCCTTTATGAAAAGGAGACGCCAATCAACGGTAGTTGGGCTGATCGGTCTTTCCTGTTCTAGGCTGGTTCAATCCAGACGAAGGAAGCAAAGCTTTTCATGGCTCCTCCTACGCATGTTCCATCACACTAGTCAGTGTGATATTTCCCGCATATACTATGCTCGCGCTTGCATTGGTCCTCAGGGGTTGGTGGAGTTTTGATCTCATTCATTGAAGCTTCCGAGTCCTTGTAGTATAGAGTTAAATTTGTTATGTTGAAGGTAGCAGAAATATTGTAATCCCTTGGCAAGTTGATCCTGTAGTTGTTATCATTTTGCTTCTTGAGGACCCTGGGCTTAGGTTTCCCAATCGATTCCGTGGAAAATCTTTCTTTCTTCAGTCTAAATTACACCAAATCTCCTTCATGAAAGGTCACCTTCTTCCTTGTTTTATTAGCTTGCATCTAATACTTGTAATTCCGTCTGATGATCTCTTTCCCGACCTCTTTGTGCAGCCCTAAATCTTTTGTACCCTCGCCTGAACATTGTTACTAACCTTCGATGTAAATGAACTTGTACTAGCTCTAGTGGAGTGAGTGGATTATCCTCATACACGATCTGAAAGGGAGTACGTCCTTAGTCTAACTCACGGATTTATTGTTGGCGAATTCGACTTGGAACAAAATCAAATCTCATTGCTTGATGTTCTTTCCTGTAAAGCACTTCATGAGATTCCACAGACTCCTGTTCACCTCTTTTATCTAGTCGTTTTGTTTGGGAATGGGTTGCTGAGTTGAATTGAAGTTTAGTACCCAACTTCCTCCATAGGGTTTTCGAAAGGTGAGTTGGGAATTTGACATTCTTGTCCGATGTGATGGTCCTGTGGTTTCCATGTAGCCTTAAGATCTCCTTGAAGTACAAATTAGCAACGTGAGATGCGCGCTTTGTCTTGTGACATGGCCCGAAATGAGCCATCTTCGAGAATCGGTCAACCAATATCATCACTGAATTGTTGTTCCACTACATTCTTGAAAGTCTCACTAGGAAATTCATGTTGAGATCTACCCAAGGGGCCTCTGGTACATTTAATGGCATGTATATACCTGTGTCTTGCCTTAGGTTTTTGTTAGGTGGCAATATATGCACTATCAAATATTTGACTCCACGTCCCTCGTCATTCGGGGCAAAAAAAAGTGTCCATTCACTAGTGAGAGGGTCTTGTTTCTGCCAAAATGACATGTTAGTCATCCGTTGTGACTCTTCAGGATGAAGGCTTGCTTCAACAGACATTTGAGCACGCACAACTTGCTTTGATAGAACATATAACCATCATCTTTGTGGTATGGTCCTGTAAGCCTATTCTGACATTGTTTACAAATTTTTTCTGAAATCCTCATTTGCGTTGTATTGCTCTTCCACTACCTCAAATCTGACAACTCTCAACTGTAGGGAGGTAATCAATGAATGGAGGCGGCTCAAGACATCTACTACTCGATTTTGAATTCCTGCCTTGCACTTGAGCACGAACTAGAATAACACTAAAACTCAACCCAAGAAGCATGTTTGACTGTTCGAGAATCTCAATGCCTCGTGATTTGTAAATAAAGTGAACTCACTCATCAGCAGGTAGTAGCTCCAATGGTGGAGAGCCCTCACAATGGCATAAAACTCCTTGTTATTGGTGGAATACTTTCTTCTGGACTCATTCAACTCCTCATTGAGGAAGGCTATAGGGTATTTTCAATGGCTCAATATTGCTTCGATCCCTACATTAGAAGCATCACACTCTACCTCAAACTGATTGAAGTACGGTAAAGCTAATATTGGGACCTCTGTCGCCTTCTCTTTCAGAGTTCCAAAATTGGATTGGGCTGCTTCTATCCATTAGAGCTTCCTTCTCTTCAAAAGCTTTGTCAGGGGACTTGTAATGGTGTCGAAGCTCTCGATGAATCGCCTGTAGAATGACGCTAAACCCAAAAACTGCCTCGAGTCGGTAAAGGACTATGGGGGTGTCCAACTCGTGATCACCTCTGTCTTAGTAAAGTCTATCTGAATGCTTGCACCAGATACAATATAAAGCAAAATATACGTGTCAGCATGAAGTGACACTTCTTCATGTGGGCATATAGTTTCTCTGATTGCAGAAACTCAAAAACCTGCTTCAGATGCTGCAAGTGCTCCTCCTCTAAATTGTTTTAGATAAGTATGTCATTGAAGTAAATAACCATGAACTTCCCGAGGTAAACCCGAAACACCTGATTCATCAGTCTCGTGAATATACTACTTGCATTGGACAATCTAAATGGCATGACATCCACTTGTGTAACCGATGTCTGGTCTTGAAGGAGGACTTCCATCATCACATGGCCTCATTTTGATCTGATGATATCTGTCGTGTAGATTAATCTTGGAAAAGACCATGGATCCATGTAATTGATTCAGTATATCGTCTTGGATATGGATATGAAACCAGTATTTGATGATATGATCTTATTGATAGCTCAACTATTGATGCACATCCTCCACAAGTCGTCTTTGTTGGGCACAAGCAGCGCGGGAACAACGCACGAGCTGGTATTCTCCATTATCAATCCCCTAGTAATGAGATTCTGCACTTGCCACTGTAACTCCTCATACTTCGCTGCCTCAATCTATATACAAGCTTGTTTGGCAACACTAATCCTGGGATAAGATCTATGACATGTTGGATATACCTAAGCGGTGATAGACCCTTTGGCAGACTGTCGGTCATCACCTCTTGAAACACGACTAATAGTGGTTGCACCATCTTCGACAGTTCTGCCGCCTCCTAAGCTCCTTCTAAGATGAGTAAGGCTAGTGTCATTGGGGCTTGCTGAACAGTCTGCATAAAGTGGTTCGTGCGTCCTCAGTCTTATTCCTTATAGATATAGATACTTCTCCTTCTAAGATGAGTAAGGCTAGTGTCATTAGGGCTTCCTGAACAGTCTGCATAAAGTGGTTCGTGCGGCCTCAGTCTTATTCCTTATAGATATAGATACTTCTCCGTAATCTTTGATAGGTAAGAGACCAATACATTTTCCCTCCTTCTTGAACACATAAGTGTTTTTTTTTCTTTTTTGAGACCTCGTGTTGCGCCTTGCGATCAAACTGTCATGGCTTCCTCAACTGGGTGTGGCAAGCATCCCTGGGCACCACGTCACACCACACCTAATTCTATAGTTGGTCTCAAATAGAAGACTACCAGACACTGCTGATCCACTCATATCTAGCTTCTTTTCTTCAACCACGTCAGAGAATAGGGTTGGGAGTGTTTCTGTGTAGCCAACTCCAACTTCTTCACCATGAAAGCGGAAATCACGTTCTCTTAGCTTCCTTTGTTAATAATAAGGTTGCAAAGTTTCTTTCTTAACATCCACCTGGTGGGGAAGATAATGTGCCTCAACTACTAGTGATCCCTCTGCGGTTTCATCTATGGAATTCGTCGTACAACTAGAACTTTTCCTTCATCTCACTGGAGTTGGTATTCCTCACCCTAATCCTCAGCTATTTCGTCAATCACTTCGTCCATAGTGCCCTACTCGGTGAATGACACCACTCGACTCATCGGGCAAATGGAGGAAATGTGCCAATATCCATGACACATGAAGAATTTTTAAGCTAGGATTGTACTGGGTTTGCTACTCTTCTCTGACTTCTTTCCTGTATAATATGCCTTGTCATTTCCCTGCGCGACCTTTTTTACTCCTCCAAGTGTGCTCCTGCTTGGATGTCCATTTGTGGGGGTTTGTCTAAAAAGAGGTGAATACTTCTGTTGTTTCTGTTATCTCTCTACTTTCAGCACTAAGGTATGCACGTCCCAAAGTTTCCAATAGAGTTGCAGTTGAACCACCTTACTGATGGCAGACTTCAAACCTCCCAAATACCTTGCTATGGAGTGCTCTTCTGTAAATTTCAATTCACATTTCAACTTGAGATGCATAAATTCTTCAGTATATTTCTCCACTCATAGCTCCTGCTACAGGTGGTAGAGTTTCATGAAAATATCCTGGCGTTAGTGCGGTGGTAGAAATTTTCTCTGTACTTCCTTTTTCATCTTCCCCGAAGAAGTGATTTTTTTCCTCATCTCTCTCTCTCTCTCTCTCTCTCTAGGTTTTCCCATCGCAAAGAACCATCATTCATCAGCTTAATGGTGGCGAGCTTCATCCTTAAATTCAAAGATTTGCTCAACAATCTACCTCTATTTGACAAATTTATTTGAATCTATCCTCCCATCTAAGTCCTTAACTCCTAGATTTTTGCGCCCTTCAGTAGGCACATTCTCTCTTGACCTCCTCTGATACGAAATTCTGAAATGCTCGGGTTGATTTTTTTCTTCATTGAAATTATCTCTACGAAAGAGGTTCAGCTGTTCTTCTGGCTCTCCTTCACAAATCTCATTATTACAGTTAACGGTGGCCTCTCCCATGGTTCTATTCTCAATGGCCTCGAGCCGTTGTAACACTTGGCGGAGTATTCGATATATGTTTCCCATGGTAAAGTTCCGGTCAGGTTCCGACATTTGTCTACTCGGCAACATGGTTAGGGTTTAGGGGTGGATAGGTGAAAGGTGTGTAGGTGCGACAAGAAAAAAATTTATGGGGGTTGAGATAGGTTTGGGTATGGTGGATGCTAAAAACCCTAGGATAGGGCTAGAGTTAAACTAGATCTAATATTAAATTATACGGAAGTTAAACGAAACTACAACTAAGAATACATAATATTACTCGAAAGAAATTAAGGTTACAATCTATGACACTTGGAACTCAGAAATAGCAGAGACACAACACGACTCAACTAGGGCTGGGGCACGAAGACGAAGGTACTGCAGTTTAAGAAAAAGTAGTAAAGAAGGGTTGGTGGCTGCTAGAAGGAGGGTAGCAGCAGGTGGGAGGAGGCCGAAAAGGGCAGTAGTAGGTATGAAAGTGACAAGAAGGGCGGCAGTGGGGGAAGAGGCTATGGGAAGTAGGGAGCGATAGATACACACCACCTCGGGATGAGTTACAGTCGGAGCACCTTCACACCTTCAGATACAACCCTAGGAGGATAAATTGGACATCGATGGCTATCATGAAGAAACATGTAAGCAAAATTTGAAAACGTTAGATAATGGAAACACATATATAAGTCTTATATAACTCAGATCGGCCCTCCCGAATCTAGACTGGTTCAATCCAGACGAAAGAACGAGCGGGATATCCCGTGGCTACTTTTACACCCCCGTCCGTGTCAGTGTGGGATTTTCCATGGCTCCTACACTCGCACCCGCGTCATGCAGTTTGGGGTACTTTTCCAAGTTTTTCTGAGTTATTATGTGATTATGTTATATTTATCATAGATGGATATCTGCAGCTCTTCAGTGGTTAGAGAAGGATGCAAATGCAACAATAAAGCGTAAACATTGCATAGATGGATTCATTTCCTCGATGGAGAAGGATGGTTCTAATCTATTTGTCGACTGGGTGAAATCAAAAGACATCAAAGTTGTGAGTACGATCTCTCTTTTAATCTATATGAATCTTGGCTGCCTCGTTATATTAGACTACGTTTGAATCTTGCCCTTTATTTTTTTTCGTAGTTGAGCCTTAGTGAAGATTAGATTAAAAATTAATCATTAAAGTGTGCTTCAAACCTCGATTTCCTGGCTGAAGAGAGGACTCCCAACTCTTTTATGGCCTTTAATCTTGTTTTTTAGTTCCTTTATTCTTATTGCTGGATTTCCTAGCTGAAGAGAGGACTCCCAACTCTTTTATGGGCTTTACTTAATCTTGTTTTTTAGTTCCTTTATTCTTATTGCTGATCATTTGTTACAGGTTTTGGTCCTCGGGATATGCACGGATGTTTGTGTTTTGGACTTCACATGCTCTATTTTATCAGCTCGAAATATTGGTAGGATTCCCCCGCTGGAAGATGTAGTGGTTCATTCACAGGGTTGTGCTACCTTTGATCTGCCCATTCATGTTGCTAGATGTATCAAAGGGGCCTTGGCTCATCCCCAGGTTAGAATCAGATGGATACGTGCTACCCAATTGTTATGTATTTACGTATCTAACACCTAAACTTTGATCTTAACATTTTTATTGGCCAAAATTTTCATATAACAGCAAAAATATTACTATTATGACTTTTAAAATGAGAGATACACCTTTTCATACATAGTGTAAGATGGCATATATGTTAAAATGGAAGTTTAGGTGTTAGATAAGTAAAAATATAGGAAATGAGTGGTATGTATGCAATTCTTCCTTGTTTTTATCATGTTCTTTCCCCACTGCTTAACAATCATATATGTTGCTCTTTCCAAACAATCAACAACAACCATTATCCCACTAAGTTGGATCAGCTACATGAATCCTTTTTCTATATTGTGTTCTATTGAGTGTCATATTTGCATTTAATTCCAATAAATTAAGATCATTGCTTATACAATGTGCCCATGTCATTTTAGGTCTACCTCAGCCTTTCTTAACATAAGTCGAATCTAAAGCATCTACTCTCCTAACCGGATTATTAGATGATCGACTTTCAATATGACCAAACCATCTAAGACGGCTCTCTCTGTCTCTAATTTTGTCTGCCACTGAAGCTATACCAACCCTTTCACGGATTGATTCGTTTCACATTTTATCTCTAAGTGTCAACCCACTCATCCACCTAAGTATTCTCATCTCAGCAACACTTCATTTTATGCTTCTCCTTTAAAGGCCAACCTTCTGCGCCATAAAGCATTGCAGGATAAATTATATTCTACTGGCATTGTGATGATGGGCATAAAATTTATATTTGTAGTTGCTCAATAAGAATAATTTTACCTAATGCACAGTCAAAAGGAGAAATAATTGTTGTATTTTCTCTTGTATTTAGCTGAAATATCTTTGACTGAAAGTAATTAATAATTTATATTCTTGTAGAAATTGCTTCACCATATGGGACTTTACATGGCCAAGGGAAGGGGAGCCAGGATTGTGAGCAGAGTATCCATGGAGTAATGAATAAGAGTATAATTTCTCCCATGTTCAGCTTCTTTTGTCTATAATAAGTTGGCTCTTCTCCATATTTGTATAAAGAGTTATATTTTCTTCCTCGGTTGGTTGTAATTTTGGACAAATGATTTCAAATCAATTATATTTGCTTTTAGATAATCGCTATATAAATTTTGGCCGATTGCTCATATCTTGCACTCATTTTAAAATAAGCTCAAGTGTTTTAGCCTATGTTCAAAATTGACTCTGGTCTTTTACTGTTTAGCAACAAAATTCGTGTTGGCTATGGTTTGGTTGCGTCAGAATTCGTGCTGACCCGATAACTCATCTTGATGATGCCATACAATGAATTATACTTAGTTAAGCTCGGCTTGAATTAGATTAGAAATTGATATAGTTTTAAGTGAATCGGCCCCACATCGAATCACATTTTTCAGTTGATTCAATGTTTTTAGCGGAGTTCATGACAGATTTGAATTATGGAGGTCAAATTTAGAGCCTTTAAAGCTTTCGTTTCAGTAGACCTAAAATTGAATAAATTATATATATTTTTAGTAATAGTAGATAGAATGGGGGGTTGTAATAAGTGAATGATTTTGATATCTTAGCTCTATTATTTAAAGTGATGGTGATATAAATGAGTAGGTACTGCAAGGGGGGCATTTCAATTTTTATGATTGAAGAGATTATGTATTATGTATGTAGATATCTAGCATCTAAATTTAACTGTTTACATTTATACTAACAAAGTCTTTCATATCACATCAAAAATATTAACATCTAAGCATTACACAATGAATGTAGCTGGCATGATATATGTAAATGCATTAAAAATCGAGTGGTATATAAATCTTCCTAAAACTTAATAGGACATTTACATACGTATGCACTTATATATATCTAACACCTAAACTCTATTTTTTATTTTAAAACAACTAAATCTTTGACATCACATAAAAAATTACACAATTTTAATTTTAAAAAAAAAAGTGAAATGCACTTTTTATGCATAAATAAGGCAATGTATATATTAAAAGCAATGTTTAGGTGTTGGACATGTAAATACATAGGAATTGAGTGGTTTGTAAATCATCATAAATAATAACCATATATTATATGTTTATTATTTATATGTTGTTTTTTTTAATATCTTCATTTATTACTTTAAACTTTTAATTATAACTTATTTTGTGTATGAAGCTTTAATTGAACATCTTAACGAGCTTGTTCATGAGTTTTAACGATGTGTTAATTATTTTATTTGTGTTAAATTAATATATTTATTTAATAAAATTGCCCATCTTTAAAAGAATGGACGGTTCCGCCCCTGTAAATGAGGATGTTATTAGTAGAATTCAAATTGAATGGTTGAAGCGGAGAAACGTGTGGAACTTATTTTGATATAGAAAAGTACATCTTAGACTTAACGGAAATTTTTATAAGATACTGGTGAGGCTTGTAATACTTTACGGTGCAGAATGTTGGCATGTAAAAGAGAAGCAAACCAAACTTTCCATAGATAAGAATGCTCAAGTGGATGAGTGGTTTTACATTAGAGATTAAAGGTGAAAGGAGTATATCCATGGAATGCTCAAGTGAATGAGTGGTTTTACATTAGAGGTTAAAGACGAAAGCAGTATATTCGTGGAAGGGTTGTGTAGTTCCAGTGACAGATAAATCTTGAAAGACTCGCCTTAGATGGTTTGGTCACTTTAATCTCCTTACAACTCTGTCCCGAGACTTCTTTATCACTTCTTCTGATGATATCAAGTAAAGCTATTTATATTATTGGGCATAGTTTTACATCTAGTTGTCATCATAAGACGCTTTTTGATGATGACACTAATCTCCTTCCATCACTTTTGTGTTTGATGATCTTGGGACCGTTCAACCTATGTTTTCTCTATCTGCCCTATCCTGATTACTTGGATGGTGCCTCACCTCCCTTTATTGTCTGAGATATGCCTGAGCTCCACCTTCTAGAGATAATTCATGCTTTGTTTTGTTTTTTATCCTTTCCTCTCATAATTTTTCCTATGTTTTATTAAGTTTTAGCACACGTATTTTGATTTATTTCTATGGAGTCTCAAGTGTATTTGAACTTATATTTGAAATGTGAACTTGGCTGTGACCATCATTTTAGCCATAGCAAAAAAGACTTAAAAAATAACTTAAAATAATAATGAATGCTTGCACATGGAAAGCTCAATAAAAAAGAGGTTGGCATCGTATCGGAAGGATTGAATCCCCAATAAATCTCGGAGGGTTAATTTTTTTTGTAGTAAGAAATTTGACTTAAAATATTATAATTAGCTAAAATTGAATTAAAATGATTTTTTTAAAAATTATTAAATTTATTTTGAAATTTATATATTATGCAAATAATTAATTAAATTTGTTTTTGCTTTCATTTCAAAATAAATTTAATAATTTTAAAATGTATTTAAATTAATTAAATAATTTTTTTTTTCTTCTAATCAAGGGTAATAAAAACATTTGAAAAATGAAATTTTTTTATTTTCTGACGAATTGAAATTGAAATTGACTCAAAATTTAATGTTAAGCTAGGTTGATTTTGAATTTGATGTGGCTTTGAGTCTGCATAGCTCACTCTCAATATGATTCAATTCGTCTCAATTTAATATAAATTTTAAATATATAATAAAAAACAAATAGAAAATAATTATTGATTTATTTTAATCAAGGCAAGAGATCATAGGGTTCAATCCCACTAATTGTTTTATGATTTTGAATCAGCCACTACAACAAACCTTTATTCCAGTAAGCGGGGTCGACTACATGAATCCTTTTTTCTCCATGGTATCATATTTTCATTTAATTCTAATAAAATAAGTTCAATGTTTATACAATTCGCCCAACTCTTTTTAGGTCTACCTCTACCTGTCTTGGCATAAGTCAAATTTAAACATCTATTCTCCTTACAGGGGCATCAGTTAGTTGAGGCATGCCTAGGTCAGATATTGTCATCACTCCCACCAACAATAGAAGTGAAATAAATAATATAGAAGGCCTGGAACTAATCAAATTCTGTTGCTCAGAACTTCCAACACAAAAATAACAGCTAAACCAAAAGGTATGATAGAGTCATAAGTGTCGTATCTTTCCTATAAAATATAGTGAAGAAATGAAGTAATTGAATGCATATAAGATGCAATTCCAATAATGATAGAAATCATGTTTAGTATTCGCTGCAAAAAAAGGCAAATGAAACCAAAATACTGAGAGTATGTAGAAGTCTAGTCGAAGCCCAGAGAAGGTAAGAAAACAAACACATAAACAAACAAAAAAAGAACAACATGCGGTTCCTTAAGTGACATCTTTAAATGCTACCAAGACTAGCACTAGATGCTTTAAAGCTTCCATCAATGTTTACTTCGAAGTGTGGAGTTGTAGGTTTGATCCATTTGACTAATTGAACCAAATTCTTATGAGCATGAAGATTCTAAATATTGAGAGCCTCCTTTATATGATCCAGTCTCTAAGTGTAGTTAAATTTAACTATATTGAAAACCAAAGCTTTATGAATGAATGAATTAACATAAAACACAATTTTGTTAACGGGGTGTTGAATTTGATTATGCTTCCTACTATTCCTCTCCAACTTGAGAAAACATCATCAAATATAAGGGACCAAGCTTTGTAGATGGGATCCAAAGTTTCACCATGTTTAGCTCTCCAAAGTTTAGATTAGACCATAGTATGAGAGAGAAAATGCAGGAAAAGAACAAATTATGAGAAATATTACTCTTACAACCAACACAAATGACAGATAGAAGGAAATTTGATCCCTTTTATGCTTTAATATATCATTAATTAGAAGGAATTTAAATTGTAGTCTCAAAATAAATAATGATTGGGAATTATTCAACACAACATTCCACCCGGTTGAAGCTGAGAAGCGAGAAGGAAATAAATAATGATTGGAAATTCTTCAACATTCCACCCGGTTGAAGCTGAGAAGCGAGAAGATTATAGATAATAAGTTTAGAGTAGGTCGTTTTTTACCTCACTTTTGGTTGAGGTTTAGTTTTCTTCTTTAGTAGCCTAAGATCTGGCCATAGGACTTTCCTGTTGACTATTCCTAGAAAACTAGAAAAGGAACCCTCACCATTAGAAACTCTACACTCCTCCTTGCTCAACTTGAAGCTCTACATATTGGTCATAACCTCTAGCACTTAGTAGGTAGGGTCAATATGGGGAGCTTAAGGTGAGTTCCCATAGGACTACTTGCCCTTAGGGTTGACTCTAGGTGTTTGTCTAGAGTTAAAACACTCACTTTCACTCACTACAGTCACTCTCACTCATAATTACTCACAACCCTAAACCTAAATTTTCCT